ATGCAGAACTGCTGATACTGCTTAGACCCCCACTCGCTTTAGGAAGAGGAAGGGTCACGAAGAACACGGTAAGTCAGGGAAGGCTCCCTGGTGGAGGGGAGGGTTTGGTACTGGGCCTTGACATAACTGGCAGAATTTGAAGTGAGCAAAAAAGAAGCACCTGGAAGAGTCTCCGAAGCAGAAAGAACAGCAAGATTTTTTTTTTTTTTTTTAACTAAGAAGAAATGAAGGGCTTCCCTGGTGGCACAGTGGTTAAGAATCCGCCTGCCCATGCAGGGGACACGGGGTCGAGCCCTGGTCCGGGAAGATCCCACATGCTGCAGAGCAACTAAGCCTGTGAGCCACAACTCCTGAGCCTGCTCTCTAGAGCCCACATGCCACAGCTACTGAGCCTGCGCTCTAGAGCCCGCGAAACACAACTACTGAAGCCCGCGCGCCTAGAGCCCGTGCTCCGCAACAAGAGAAGCCACCGCAATGAGAAGCCCGCGCACCGCAACAAAGAGTAGCCCCCGCTCGCCGCAACTAGAGAAAGCCTGCGCACAGCAACGAAGACCCAACGCAGCCAAAAATAAATAAATAAATAAAATTAAAAAAAAAAAAAGAAATGAAAACCATCAAAAAGGAAGAAATCACTATCAGCATCCTCAGCTCGTTCTCCATCCCGAGAGCCTGGCTCAGGCTCCTTAAGCCAATATTTGCCTCTCAGCCCCTGGCAGCCACAGCTGAAGGTAAATATTGGTTTAGCCTGGGAAACAGAAGCCCCAGATGGTAGTGTGGCCCTCAGCCGGCTGGGATGCCTCACGCTCTGTACCACAAGCTGAGGCACACCCGGGACAGAGCCCTGACCCCAGGCCTTATCTACGGAGAGGCCCAAGCCTCTCAATGCTGAGCAGCCAGGCTGGCCCACCACCCCAGAGACTGGTGCAGCAGCAGCCTGGCCCCCAGAAAGCTACCCTGAGAGTCTCTGTACACCCTTCTCCTCAGTAGGCAGGTGGGGTCTTTTACCAAGACCTAGGATGACACCATGAGTCCTTGGGAGCCCCCCTAATGGCCTCCTAACACCCTCCTGGGCTCAGCCACAGACATCCTGATGTGTCAGTAAGTCTTCTCACACTGACCTTGTGTCCACGTCAGCTGGGAGGTCTGAATTCCAGGCCCAGCCTGGCTTCTGACTAGTTGGGAGAACTTGGGTAGGCCCCTCCCCATCTCTGGGCCGCATTTCCTCTTACTGAAAAACTTGACAGCAAGAAGCTGCTGGAAACTTTCTAGTCTCTTGGCTCTCTCCTCTGTGATGCACGAGCATACCCACACCGGCACACACCTGCTCTCCACAAGTCATCCACTATCTTCCCACTTCATCCCATCCCCTGAAGGATCTGCTCCCCGACTGACCACCAATTCCCCACCTCTGTGCCAATGCACACCCCTCCTGTCCGGCCTAAATTGTTCCTCCTCAACCAGTCCATTCTTTTCACCTCCCCTGGTTTCTGACTTTAAACTCATCTCCTACAGGAAGTCCTCTGGATTGCTCCCCAGCTGCACCCCCCCCCCCCCCAGTTTTATTTTTCAGCCACACTTTTTTGCAGTATTGGATTTAGGTCACCTCAGAGCAGTCATATGGCATGTCCTCCAATATAAACACTCTTTAAGGAGAGGGGCTGAGTTTCCAATTCTAGTGCCTCCTCCAACTCCTGCACAGCACCTAGGCTGTGGTGGGCACAGCGGGGTGCACAGGAACACCTTACAAATGGATTCCTGGCTCACCAGCTTTCTGCCAGGATCCACAGCTGCTCTTCCTGAACCAACACTTCTGAGAGGAGGAGGGAGACCTTGAAAACTGGGATAGGAACTTATCTCTCCAAGTACTAATTACCCCATAAAGCTTGTATTTATTTAGTTGCTGGCAGGTCCTTCTTCCTGGAGGTAGGAAGCTGTTATTCTTGGAGATACCAGCCTGGGCTTGGGCCCAGCATAACAGGGAGCCTGGAAGGCCTGAAGCAGGTCTGCCAGGGCCATGGCATGGGCATCAGGGGGCCTAGGTGATGGTTAGGGCAGTGGGGGGCAGGGATGGGGACGGGACCCCACCTGGAGGTGTCAATCAGGGAGAGACATCAGCCCCTACCTCCACTCTGTGGCGGGAGGACGGCCAATCTGTCCATGGCCTGACTTGTGGACCTACTATGTGCCAGGGAGCCCAGGATGTCTCTGGGCTGAGGAGCTTGGAGGGCTTTGGCCACAGGTTCCAGGTGGAGGCAAGAGGGGAGGGGGCAGGCCTCCGGCAGGTATCCCCTGGCAGGTAATCTCTAAAGATGAGCCACGGTTTTGGGGGACAATCACCCCAGGAAAGACAGGTCCATCCTCAGAGCCCCCAAGACACAGAGTGACTTCTTCAGAGGAGAAACTCAGCTGAGGAGGAAGACGAGGGAAAGCAGAGGAGCCGGCGGGATCTGGGTGGAGGGAGAGAGGCCCAGAAAGACACAGGTGCAGTGACGTGGCAGGTGAGGAGAGAGGGGGAGATGAGAAGTGGGGAGGAGAGGGAGGGAAATGGACCCTGAGACTATACAGGGCAGCAGGTGTGTCCCGGGGGCAGGGGCACGGGATGAGGGCATAGAGAAGCAGGCCCACCTCCGAAGATAACTTGGGTGGGTCTCTCCTTTCTTCACCAAAAAAAATCAATTTAGGAAGAGCAAATCGAGGAGCTATTTTAATCTGCTAATTCATTTTAGGGGCCATAATCAGTGTTTTAAAATGCCCAGGGATTATGGTGATTTACAGCTGTGACGGAATCAGCTGGGGCCTTGGCCTTATTGGGTATACAGAGAGGAGGCTGACAGGAAATCCAAATGCAACTGAAAATACTGCGTGAAAACCCATTTATAGTCAAAGAGGCTGGGCTAGGTCAGTGCCTGGGCTCTGCCCCAGGGTGGGGCCCTTCAAGATTACTCTCCAAGCTCCTCCCTCAGCCCCTGAGATTTGGAAGCCCCATCTCACCCAGTATGTCCCCTTCATCCTCACCCCCATCCCAACCCTCCTGGAACTTGTAGGCCCAGCCTAAGCCTCCTCCACCAAGAAGCCTTCCTAGACTCCATCCTCCCACACTGACTTCAGCCTCCTCTGACTTCCTGCTTAAACCCACCGTGGCGGCTGGGGGGGTTGGCGGATGGGGAGGGGGCAGGTAATGCAAAAGGTACTACTTTTGGCATCAGAACACCCAGTTCAAGTCCCAGCTCTGCCACACCCATACACGGACAGGACAGGCCTTCCATGGGCCTCAATTTTCTCCCTGACAAATGGGGATAATAATCACTCCCTCCAGGGCCAGCTGCTGAGAGGTGAAATGAGATAAGTGGATGGAAACCATCTTGGCAAATGGATGAGATCCTATGACCACAGTGTTCAGCGATTTACTGTTGTCTCTTGGGTTATGCCCTGATTGTTCCAGTGTTTGCTTTGTCTCCCAGTGAGCCTGGGGCTGTCTGTGAGCGGGGCTGGGTCTACCTCGGCCACGCCCCCAACCCTTTCCTTCATCTAACAAGTCATCCATCCATCCCACCACTCTCCCCTACCCACACTGCAAATATTCCTCAGGGTCCTGTACACACCAGGCACAAGATTCCACCCTGGAGAGGAAACTAGCTGGATAAGACATGGATCCCTCCTTCACACAGAAAGACTTGTAACGATTACTCATTTCTTAACTTTCACAGTCATTTTTCTTTTTAACTATCTTTTTACTCAAATAAAAGTGTTTTGAAAAAAAAGAGCTTCACTGTTTCTAGGCTCTGAAGTCAGAAAGGACAAAAAGAAAAAACATTTTTCCACCACCTCCATGGCAGTTTTCTCTGCAGGGACGTGGGGCAGGGATGGGAGATGGGAAGAGCAAGCATTGGCTTGAGCATCGACTTGGTACCCAGGACTATGCTAGGCACTTTACTCATAGCCTCTTTAGTTGGATTTAATTTTCCTACCAACCCATTTTACAGATGGAAAAGCTGAGGTTCATCCAGGTTCCTCCTGGAGACACAGCCAATTTGCCAATGGGTTGACCTGTACCCAGTCTATGTGTGCACATGCACACACACTTGCCTATACATGCTCAAGTGCAGCAAAGTGGGATTCCTGGACTGGGAGTCAGGTGACCTGGATTCCAGCCCCACCTCAGCCACCAACTCGCTGTGAGACCCAAGGAAGTCTGAGACTCTGAGGCCCCTTCCAGCCCTGGCATTTTAGGGTCTGTGTGTGCCCTTGCCAGGAAGCCTGGTACTTTAGCAGCCCTAGAATACTTTCTAATGCCCCTCTTCCTCACCTCCCACAGGATGTCTGCCCTCTCACTCCCCTGTAGTAGCCTTCCTCACACTGGGGACCCAGAAGCAGCCAGAAGAGTCTTAGCCCCCCTCGTGCCTTCTGCTGTCCCCTCCTACCCCTTTCACCCATATTCCTGCAAACAGGACTAAGGTGGGGTTGGACCTCCTGGAAGGCTACAGAGCCCAGGGGCCAGGGCTCACCTGGGGCTGAGCCTTGCAGCGCCTCCTAGGGCCAATGACAACTTCCCTGAGCTTGAGGCTCACCTCCACGGGCCCAGTGAGGGAGTCTGCCTCCCAGGGTTGCTACGAGAACGGCAATAACAAAGTGCCTGGCACACAGTAAGTGCTCTGTAAACTATAGTTATGATGATTAATATTAATTACTTCCTGCGGGTGAGGGGGTCTTTGAGGCTGCCATACATGATCATGAAGGTCGCACACTGCTCAAAGGCACAACCTGAGGGACCACAGAGGGCAGACGTCTCGCTAGGCCCCACTTGCCACAGCTGTGGGCCTGGAAGAAGGGATGCTCTGCAGTTCACGTCAAGGCTCCCAGAGCTGTCCCAGTGCCCAGTCAGCCCCAGGGCTGCTTCCAGTGGGGGAGGGAGCCCCATGCCTGATAGAACCAAGTCGAGTCAGACCACAGCACCAGAAGTGTGCCCTGCACCTAAGGGGCCAGAGGGAGTGGGCACTCACCAAGTAGCTGGACGCCCCGCGTGAGGCCGTAGACGTCCACCAGGGCCCAGAGCGGGTCGGCTGCGCGGACCCCATTGAAGAAGGGCATGGCGGCTGAGTCGTTGATGCGGTAGAAAACACGGCCCTTCTTGTCCACCCAGAAGGCGATGATGTTTCCCTCGTTGGCAAACTCCTCAGGCAGCGCCTTGGCCCAGAAGCCGCTCTGGGACACCAGGTCGGGGCAGGCGTACTTGGGCAGTGAGTCAGGGTGGATACGGGACGGGTCCTTGCTCGTGAAGCCTAGCCGCAGCGCCCCGCTCCAGCAACACTGCTTCTTGGTGATCTGGGCGGCAGGGGGTTGGCCTCAGACAGCCCCCAGCCCAGCCTCTCCCCCACCATCAGTGAGCCCAAGGGGAAGGGGCTGTGCCCTTCTCTGCAGACCACCCCCAGACAGACTCCTATGGGGAGCCACACTGCCCAGCTCACCCGCTGTTTGGGCTCCTCTCCCTCCCCCAGGAGCCCCCACCAGTCGAGTGAGAGCTAGTTCTCACCTCCCCCCTCATCTCCCATCACCTCCCCCCTCATCTCCCATCACCTCCCCCCGTCATCTCCCGTCACCTCCCCCCGTCATCTCCCGTCACCTCCCCCCCTCATCTCCCATCACCTCCCCATGGCCGCTCCCCTCTCCCGTTCCTTCTCCGTCACGCAGGGAGGGTTGAGAAAGGAGTGAGGAGGAGGAGGAGAGAGAAAGAGCAGGGGGTAGTGATGGCCGTTAGCAGAAGGCGGTGCCTCGCGGGAACGTCCAGGGGCCCCAGGGGGACGCAGTGACGGGAACAGGGAGGGAGGCCCCACCTTCAGCCTGACTTGCTCATAGATGAGGACCGGGCGGTTACTGAAGGTGATGGCATTGCAGAAGCTGGCCTGCCTCTTGACGGCCTTGTGGCTGAGGTCCATGAGGATCTGGGAGCCCTTGGTATGTGGGTGGAAGAGCAGTGGCGTGGCCGGAAGCCCCCCTCCGGGCAGCACCGGCGGGCAGTACTTCTGCTTGTGGTGGCATCGGTGAGAGGTGACAGGGAAGGGGCCCCCGATGGAGTCTGCAAAGGAACAAGCCACAGCGTCAGAGAATCTGACAGTCCGAGAGCTGGACCAGGGTCCCCTAGGGAAGGGCAGAGGGCTGGGGCATAAGCAGAAGTCACCACTGCCCAGGATTTCCACCATCTCTGCCCCTTAGCACCTGCCACTTTCTGCCACCTTCCTTCTCCTGCTACATCTACTGCTATTTCCCACTTCACCACCTACCACCGTTTATTACCCACCACCATCTACCCCCACCCTTCACCCGTCACCTCCTACCATCTGCCCCCACCCTTCACCCGTCACCTCCTACCACCATCTATTCCCACCCTTCACCCGTCACCTCCTACCATCTGCCCCCACCCTTCACCCGTCACCTCCCAACACCATCTACTCCCACCCTTCACCCGTCTCCCCCCACCATCTGCCCCCACCCTTCACTCATCACCTCCCACCACCGTCCGCCCCACACTTCACCCGTCACCTTCCACCACCACCATCTACCCCCATCTGTCACAGACCACCACCAACAGCTACCATCTACTGCTCCTCACCAGTATTTACCACCATTTACTTTCCGCCCTCTAGCATTGTGATAAGCCACCATTTACAACCAACATCCAACACCATTCACTGTCACTCACTACCACCACCATTTATTTTACTCAACAAGTATTCATTATGTATCTACTGAATACCAAGCCCTGTCCTAGGCACTGAAGATAAGGCATGAAACATACATGGATCCTGTCCTCAAGCAGCCAACAGTCCAGGAAGGGAGATAAGATAGGGACAGAAACTGCAATACAAATGGCAGACAGTAATATGCACCAAAAGGTAGGTCACTTCCCAGGAAGGCCTCCTGGACGAGGGGAGAAGGAGAAGGCTTTGGAGCTGGACTGACAAGGCTGGGCTGCAGTGAACACTTGACCATGGGGCTGGCACTAGAGACCAGGAAGGTGGGTGAGGCAGCCTCTGCAGCGTCAGCCCCAGGAGCATGCCCATCTCCTCCCTCCTCCGGGGCCACCTCCCTCCTCCCTCCTCCCTCCTCCCTCCTCCCTCCTCCCCAGGCTGCCTTCCTGCTTTACACTGCCCATGCCCACAACATCTTGAACACAGGCAGGCCTTTTCGCCCAGGCCTCCTAGGAACTCGGATCTGCTTCAAGAACCCCTAGCCTGGGAGGCACTGTGCTTTCTTCCATAAGCAGGGCTTGGTTCATAAGGCACTTTACAAACATGTGAGGTTGGCATCCAGGAGACAGAGCAGAGAGAGGAAAGAACATGGGATGTGGTGCCAGGTGGCTTGTGTCTGTCACTAACTGGCCATGTGACCTTGGGGAAGTCACTTCCCCTCTCTGGCACAATAAGTGGCCTCCACTCCGTGACTCTAAGCCACGTATCAGCAGCACTGGTAGCATTAATGCACAGCCTTGGCAGCTGGGGGCTCGGGGTGGGGGGTTCATTTCTTCCCCAAGATCTGTGTCTCATCCATCAGGAAGGGCAGCTCCTGCCCACCCGGTCATCTTGAGAAGAGACACAGAGGATGGGGAAGATGGGGTGGGGACGTAGAAAACCACAGAATGTGACTGAGGACATCTGGGATGTTTCAAATTTTCGTCCCTCCAAGGCAAGAATTTAATAATACAGAAAGCCTGGTTAGCCCAGAGGCCTTCTCCACCCTAAAGAGAGGGGAGGGGTTTCCAGGAAGGGGATGGAAGACAGGCAGAGAGGAGAGAAGGAGGGGAGAATCCCAGGAGTCGGGAAGGCCAGACTTTGGTCCAGTATTTGCACTGGTTTGCATCACTTTGCATCTTTGCTTCCTCCTTCCCAAAGGGCCCCAGACACGAGCATCGAGCATCCACAGTCCAGAGCCAGCCAGATACCCTGAGCATCAGCCTCCTGGCCTCTCTGGAGTTGCTTCCTGCATGCCAGGCCCCCGAGTTGAGGGTGGCACAAGGCGGGGCTCACCTTGCTCTCACTAAGGAACCAAGAATGGTGCTCAAGGGCTTTGAAAGCCACCAAGCAGTGAAGGCTGGAATTGCTCAGAGGAGACCCAGACAGTCTGGGAAGGCCACCCGAAGAAGCTGAATGACCCCTGAATAGCACAGAGCAGGGGAGGTCATTCCACGGAAGAGGACAGTTGAGGTGAGAGCAAAGTGTGCCACTGGATATAGGTGCCCCACCTAGAAGAGGTACCCACTGGGCTCAGGACAGTCTCAGAAAGAGCTTGCCTCCTGCTTTCAAAAAATACCACTGGTGAAAGGTAACATCACACACTGTTTAGGGCTGTGTACATACGCAGAAATGAAAGCATAAAAGAAGAAATACCTGCTGGGTGAATGGATAACAAAAGTGGTACGTCTATACAACAGAGTACTACTCAGCAGTGAAAAAGGAATGAACTACTGACAGTAGCAGCAACACGGATGAAATACAAAATCATCCCACTGAGCAAAGCCAGTTTTTTAAAAAAAAAATGCAGATACAGTCCACAGAGCAACTGCAGGGCTTCCACCCCTTTTAAAACCCTTCCTCTCCTTCCACTCTGTCCCACTGGTACCAATTCTATAAAACAGAAACTAAGCTAGAGTGATAATAAGCAGACTGGTGGACCTGGGGATGGTAGGGGCAGGAGGGAATACTTGGGGTGAGAGGTGACAGATGTGTTCACCATCTTGATTGTGGTGATGGCTTCACTGTTATGTGCATATGTCAAAACCTATCCAGTCATACACCTTAAACACCTGTGGTTTAGTGTGTGTCAATTATATTTCAATAAAGCAGTTTTTAAACCTGCTGAGCCCGGCAGCTGATGAGAGCCTCTCCTATGGGGCCCCTGCTGCAGCCTCCTTTCAGAATCCATGGACAAACTGCAGGGCCTCAACTTCCTTCAAAACACTTCCTCTCCTTCCTGCCTATCCCAGTTGGGATCCCGGGGCCCTGGATAAAGATCCAGGAGACACTGGTTCAGGACAAATACGGTGAAGACACCCAGGGACCAGAGACCCAGGCCCTGGAAGGACCATTCCCCAGGGCCTCCCACCCACAGGGAGGGTACTGCGTGGGCGAGGGCAGCACAGGCCCAGCCTCCCTGGCTGACAGCCGAACAGATAGAGAATGGGAATGGGGGAACCTTGGTCCCTGGGGGTACAGTGTGCACCCAGACAAGTGACCTCAGAAAAAGGCACGGTCACGGGTACCCACATACACCTGTGAGCACGTGAGGGTAACCCAGAACCTAGGAGGCAGAGGAGGGAAAGAGACTTATTCCTGCCCTTACCCATTAGACCAGGAATCGCACATTTACACATGTAGTGCGTGCACGCACATGTACTCATATACACATGGATGCACAAGGCAGTACACACAGAACACACATCTACTACATATGGGCCATACGTCTAATAATAATGGCAGCCATTCATCAAGTGCTAACACATGCCAGGCTTTGAACTGAGAGTTTTACATATACTTACTGGTTTCACCCTCACAGCAAACTGATGAGGTAGGAGGGACAGTATAAGCCCATTTACCTGATGATGAATCAGCCTCAGAGAGATTGAGTGGCTTGCCCAAGGTCACACAGCCAGCAGGATGGGGCTTTCGGAGCCAAACCCAGGCAATCTGACTGCAGGGCCAGGGTCTTAGCTATTCAGCATTAATAGCCAAGAAAGCATGGGTTTGGATACATTTTTAAAATATGGTCATAACTGATAAAACACGAAAAACATATTCATCCGTGTCCCACCTAAAATCATCTCATGTAGCACACAGGGGGATACCTGGCATTCTATTATGTTGCCTCCACAATACATGTGTGTATGCCGCCAGACAAGGAAACGCAAACCATGTTTTCATACACAGCCCTCATCCATCACTGATAGGATGCAGAACGGTGCAGCCAATGTGGAAAATGGCTTGGCAGTTTCTTATAAGTTTAAACACCTACCATATGACCTAGCAATCACACTCGTGGGCACTCACCCAAGAGAAATGAAGACATCTGTACAATGACCTGTACGCAAATGGATAGCAACTTTATTCATAATAACCCAAAATTGGAAACAACTCAAATGCCCTCCAACTGACGAATGGATAAATAAAACACGGTACATCCACACGATCACTACTACTCTGCAATAAAAATGAACAGAACTATGACACAACAAGAAGGAACCTCAAAAGCATGTTAAGTGAAGGAAGCCAGACTCAAAAGGCTATATACAGTCTTATTCCATTTGTACGACAGTCTGGAAAAGGCAGAAGTGCAGACACAGAAAGATCAGTGGGTATCGGAGTTTGGGGAAGAGGAAAGCAACACAAAGATGTTTTTACGGCGACAGAAATGTTCTATACCGTAATTGTGGTAGTGGTTATACAAATTATACATTTATCAAAACTCACCAAAATATACACTTGAAAAGGGTGAATGTTAGTGTCCATAAATTGTACCTCAAAAGCAGCAACAATGACTAACAAACCAGGTCTTTATGAAGATGGGAGGAAAGGGGGGCTGGAATCTCTGACCCCCAGCCCCCAGCATCCCACCACAGGCAGATCCTAGGATTGGCCCATCTGACGGGAGACCCCAAAGCCTGGTCGGGGCTGCCACTCTCAGCCTTAAGTTCCCTCCACTTCTGTGAAGTGGCTGTGCTGTTCCCTGTCCCCTGTGGGTCTGAAGAGAGCACTCTGGCAGCTGCAAAGCACCTTCACCGATTCCTGGGCCTGCTAAGTCCTGTGCCGGCCTCTTCCTGCCCACAGAGACCAGTGTGGTCTCTGCCCACTGAGCCACCTCTGTGGGAGCGACGTGAAAACCCTTTCTGACTTGCTGGGCATCTCCTGCCCATGGACCATGGTCACTTGCTGCTCAGCAGGCCCCTGTTGAATTCCTGACCGTAACCCGCCAGCCCCACCATGTTCCCGGGCCCCAGTGGAGTCCGGGCACCCCATATCCAACCTGCCAATCCCACCTCTGAAATAAACATCCCTGGGCCCCGCACCCGCCTGTCCTCCCCACCGC